AGTATTCAAAAACACATATATTTTTTTAAATTTTGTGTAAGTAAGCGAAATTTTAAATAAAATTACTGTTATAAAAAACAAGTGAGCGTATACGCAACAGCTGTCAAAGGCGAAAGCCTTGCCAGACTTATTTCCCTAAAATGTTTATTTAGTTTTATAAAGTAAATATTAACTTAATATTCAAACAGCGACTGATGTGCCTTACTGATTTCGCATTTGTAATAAACAAATAAAGGAAATTTGTACGCAGAAGAAACTGTTTGAAGAAACTTCAATATCCTTTCCGCTAGTGTTATGCCATGTAACAAACGCCTTTTTAAGTCCATCTACTAAAAATAGTCGCAACACAATATTTATATGAAAGACATTTTAGACTTTTACAAGCCACTGACATTCCACACAGACTCTATGGAATTAAGTATACATACATAAGATTAGAATAAATTCCAGAAATGCCGGCATTTCAAACATTTTTGCTCACATACTTGCATAGTAATGCGGTAAGAGTCGATGTGTCGTCGTAGTAAAGTGACATGAAAGTTTGTGAGTATGTGCTGACTACTCGCTCAACTAATGCAAGTGATCTTTTAGGCAATCATAACGATTAACTTTTCTCATTAGTAACCAGTAAGTGCCACAACTCCTACCACCATGATCGCAGCGGCTGACTGGCTTGTTGGCTGTTTGCTTGGCTGACAAGCAAGGCTTTCTTGCTTACTTACATTCATTACTTATGTACTTACTTACATTACTTATGATATTTCTGTGCTATATATATGTATGCATGTATGTTTGTAAGTGTGTATTGCTTACCGCTTGACCGCCGACAACTCAAATAATTGATATCCCAAGAAGGTATTTCATTTAATTAAATTCACCAGCCACTTACAAAGCGATTCTGAATTTTTCTGTGGAAGACATGCTGGCGACGTTGTGCAAGTATGTCGTTCACTTGGCGTAAAAGGCAAGATTCCATTTGGAGTGATGATGCGACCAATATGCATCACAAACCACCACCACCAATCTACCTACACCCCCCATACACGTATTCTCCCCGCAAGCAATACAAAACATACAAGCAGACAGTCAGCAAAGCATCTTCACTCCAAACACCAAACTGGCAAGCAGTTGATCAGCACAACTAGCTAGCTAGAGCTAGCGGTCTAGCTAGCCAACCAGGCAGCCATCGATCGTCTTGATCGGCGATCGATCGATCGAACATTGAAGACACACACATACGCATCAACTGCATAGCATACTTATGCGCTAAGCTTTGGCGGCAGGGTTGACAGGACGTGCGATGGGCGGTAGGCATGTTGTTAGACTGTCTGGTGTTGCTGCAAGATCAGCTAATACTTAACTATTGCCAATACTGTTGTGGCAGGGAAGGGGTGTTGGTGGTGCTGGTGCACAAATAGGGGTATAAATCTAGTTGTACTTGCTGGCCTACCCGTGGAGTTGGTTGGCAGTGTCAATGTGAACAGGAGCAGCATAGAATCTACCATTATGGCTAGCTAGATAACTACTATAGTGGACACAAGATCTTTATACAAACTAACATGTTGTTTGTTGGAATGCAGTGATTATCATCAGGGAGCAATAACTGTGATGACATAGCAGTCCAAACAGTCTGAAGCAGTTCAGCGCGAGTACTATGCGAAGTCGTCATCGCACACATGCGCTCATGTAAGTGCATATACATATGTACATATATGTGTGTGTGCATAAAAAGTGGCAAAAGTCGGTGCAGCATAGACGCTTAGACGCATATCGGTTTGGAGCCTCGTAAATAGTCACTGCACGTGGACTGAAAACTATTTCCTATTTAAGGATGTCAGGCAGGCCGTGGCAGCCAGCAGCGAACGGCGAACAGCAAGCAGCGAGTAGTTAGCAGTCAGCAGGCAGGCATGTTCTATTCACGTTGCAATAGTTGGGGAAATACTTGTACTTTATATGATCATTCGGGATGCAGAATGTGTTTTATACGTTTATAACTCTATAGGCAAACGAGAGAGAAACGTGTGCGTAGGAAAGTTTGAGCATAACAAATTCTTTAGACGATACGCAATTTCTACGATGATTTCTGACTTCGTTGATGTGCTGCGCGGTGCTGCTGGTTGCTGGTGGTGCGGCTGCTGTTCCGCCATCATCATTTCGCCAACGTCAACTTCCACTTGCATGTCGTCGTCAGTTCGATTGTTTGAGGACGAATATTTGCGCGTTGCATTTGGTGGCACGCACATACCCATACATACGTGTACATACATGTGCGCTTGCGCCGTGTACGCGTGTGTGTCGCTCGCGCATATTGGTGACGTACTCGTACTCTCGTACTCGCCGTCGTACGTGTATAATGATACATTACGCAAATCCTCCAGAGGTTGTAATGCTGTCGCATGTTTTTACCATTTCTGGCCTTCAGCGCTGCTGCAGCAGCAAGTATGTCTCACTAAACTGCAACTCGACGGGCGCACAAGCGGCCAAACAGTTAAATATATACCTGCATATAAACATATGTATGTGTGTAAAAAAAAGGAAATAAATGCGAAATAAAAATAAAACTAAGCAGTGAAAAATGCTGCAGAAAAAATGAAGATTCTGAGAAAAATCCGGTATGGAATGTTCCAGTGGGATTTGTCAAAACTTCTTTAAAATAGAAAAAACGCAGTTACATATGTATGTTTGTGTGTGCGTGTATGTATGAGTACTCGAACATATTGCATCCCGCATTGCAGATGTACTATAGACTAGCAACTACTTAACGTCTACCGCAATAAACAGTAACTCACAAAATATTTATCAGTAGCTGCAGCTGATAGTAAAAACACGACTAATGGACAGCTGACTGGGTCTAAAAGCGTTAGTCTTTGCTTTCCCGATCATAAAGATCACAAAGATCTTGCTTTTCGGAACTCTATATAGGAAAAGGAATACCGTTCGTGTTCAGCGCCTTCGGGTTGCAACGGTTAGGAATGTAAAAGATCACATCTTAAGAACACTTTTCCGTTACTACTATTAAAAAAGTCGGGTACACGTGACCGGAACGAACTCGCACTTTTATCGAGCCTACTCTCAACTCGGTAGAAGTCGTTACAGTTATTTTGAGAAAACCAGGATTCGTTTCCGTATACCGCTCGTTAAACTTCCAAAATCCAACTAAATTTTTCACTTAAAAATCCAACCATCTAAGAGAAAATATAGCGCGTTCTAAACAAAAGAAATACGGTTCGGACTTCTAGGTTGAAAATGCCACATCTCAAGACCATAGTTCCGTTACCATGCTAGTCGGGTGTACTTAACCGGAACCGAACTCTTTTTATCGTCAACTTGGCAGCCTTCCTCAAAAGTGTTTGGCGAAGCCAGAGTTCGTTCTCATATACCGATCTCAAAAATACCGAAAATTCAACTAAATTGTTCAACCAAAATTTCAACAACCTTAGCCAAAATATAGACCACTCTGAGTAAAATTAGTTCGGAAAAATATTATTGGGTACATGTTAGTTTTGTTAACTCCTTAAAAGATGTTATTTGGAAATATGTAAAATCCTTTGCGGTTAGGGAGAGTTTATTGGTATTAGAGCTTAGGGAGAGCTTTAGTGTTCGCAAATGAGTAACAAAGTGTACAGCTAGATAAGCTATACTTTTATATTTTTGTGTGCTTCATCATAGGAGTGGCGTGAGAAATGTTTGTGTAATTATTTTCTAATACTAAGTCAAGAATAGACATTGTAAAACCGAAAATAGTTCAAAAATTAATACATAACTATTTATGTGTGTATGCTGTAGAGCCTCTCATTTCTAAATCATATTAAAAAATCCCATTACGTAATCCCTTAAGTGTGCATTTTTGCCAGTCACTGTCCATCTACTCGCTTGCATGTCATATTCGTGTGCATGTCTCTAGTACTCACTCATATATTGCAACTATATCGGTACAATCACGTGTGTCGTTTGCCATATCTAATTGCAGGTGCTCTTTTAATTTGGCTATGATCGACATTTTACGCATTGTTGTGACAACAATGTTCCTTTTAGACGGATTCCACACGCTCGAACACCTACAAAAGCGCTAAATAAGGTATACTTAGTTGATCCGTAACTAGAATAAAATAAATTATTTCAAAATTTTCACCAAACAAGTTTTTCCTGAACATAACGGTATATACACATATTTACTTGTATCAGAGTGCTAGGCAGCGCGCTTTAATGAAGGCTTTAACCACATTTAATAAACGTGTAAATAAAACGTTAAAATTACGGTAATCATTTCCTTTACGCAAAGTGTAAATATGAAAAATTACTGACAACCATTTGCATATGGGGCGCGTCACTCAGACACTTGTCTCCAAGCGCAATCACTCATAATAATGTCTAACGCAAAGCGGCATACGCGTCGCCGCGCGGCATTCCTACAATGGGAGGAGTTTGCCAGCGACTAACCAATAGCACCGTAAATGTCTGAGCCGAAGTTATGATTTCTGTGTTTTTTTGTTGTTGCAACTCATGTGCAAACGCTTGTACATATACCAACATGCTTAAATATATATGTATGTATATGCATATATCTATGTGTACATATGTATATAAATTTACAAATCAAATCAAAATTGCGCGCGAGCTCGCGCCTTAGACTCACCACACAACTGTCAATGTGACGCGCGTGTGTTGGTGTTGGTGTACTGTAAAAGATAAGGCCTTCATTGGCAGTAATAGTTAATTAAAGTCTGGCTCGAACGCTTTGAATATTCGTGAATGCCAAAAGAGAAGCCAATACCAAAAAAGCGAATCACAAAAAAATGCACGAAAACAAAAACAACGCTATGAATGAAGCTCGTACCACAACGGCGCTGAGCGGAGAGTCAATAAAGCGGCTTGCTAGCGAATGAAAACTCAGTTTGCGCCTGTAAAGAGTATAGCAAATAAGTCTCCACACAGGTAAAATTCTCCTGCATTCTCAGTTTCTCCTGCCCATTATCATGCTTGCGGTACGTAAACGAAGAGTCAGCTAAACGCGCGCGCTCCATAACGAAAGCGCTATTTGGCGGCGCTCCGGCTGGCTTGTTGTCTAGTTGGCGCTCCAACAATATTGGTTTTACGTGTGCTTTATTTGTTGTCACACAGCAGTGGAGCTCTCCAGTTTGGCGTAGTGAAATAAAGAAAAATAAAATACGGTCGTGCTGTGTGACGCGATCGAAAGCGAGTTTATTCGGTAGCGCGCCTCCATCTAGAGAACATCAAGGTGGTCGCAATAACGACATAAACGCATTGATAATTTTTCATATTTGTCAGTTACAAGCGATATTTCCGCAGTTTACGTATTTCTTGCCAACTAGCGAGCGTACATAAGTGGTAATAACACGCCTTATCAGTTGGCGAATGGCGTTTGGATTATAGCAATTTATAGCAGTGGCAGCAAGTGCAGCAGCGGCATCAGCAGCATTAACATTCATAAAAATATTATCAACATTTATGGTGGATATTTACGAAGTTCTTACGTGTTTTCACCATAATAAGAAATTAAATAACTTTTTTGGTGAAATTCTACAGCAAAAAAAAAAAACAATTACTACAACACTGTGGCAACAATTATACAATAAAAACGCACATTTTGCAACACTGAAACAGCATCGAAAGCAATTGACAGCGTCAACAGAGCTGACAGCAACAACAATCGTGTAGAAAGCAGAGAAACAGAGAGAGGAGGAGAGCGAGCCTTATATAGTTTGACATTTGTTGATTCTGACAAGCGTTTAGTTGCCGCAGCTAAAAGGAATCGAAGAAAAGTAATGGTCCAATAATCGACGGTACGGTCCGTTTAGAATTTGTGTTACATTTAGATAAAAAATTGGTTGAAATTAAAAATAGGAATCGCAAACTCTGCGCGACGTGCATGTTACCTGTGTGTTCGGTCGTTTTTTAAGTGTGCAAGCAAATTGGACGAGCCACATGCGTTAATTTGACAGTTGCGTGCAGCTGTCTCGTCGATTTCTTGTTTTTGTGGTGTCCGATTCGATTCTAATACGATCTGAGATTCCCTCAAAAAGTGTCAAAAGTGCGTTTTTGTGTTTATTTTTGGAATACAAGTGTTTGCTGTCTTGCACAGGCCACAAAAGGCACCAAAATAAAGAGCACACAAATTGGCCGTGTTTACACTGCTTATACGAATTTGATTCAATTTAAAGTTGAAACGAATGAGAAAGTGATATTGAAGTGGTGAGGTTTGCAGTGCCGTGCCGTGCTGTGCTGTTTGATATCGACTATCAAAGCAAGTGCTCCTGCTAACAACTGCCGATTACGGTGCATCAAAAGCCTGCGGCAATAGCAGCCACAGTACCACTGCGTCTACAAGCAACCGCTATATACAACAGCAGTTGCTACCAAGTGTGTGTGTGTTTGTGTTATTTAATAAAGGTGTAAACATAAATTCGTCACGGTGGAGAACTTCTACCTTAGAATGGATCCTACGCGAGGTGACTCGCGCTACAACCTCAACTACCCCATGAGCGGTATCGGCCTAAGTTTGGCCGATCAAGCCGACTTATATGGTGGTAATCCTGCGGCTGTTAGTGCGCTTGGCGGCCGTCCACCATCAGGCGGCCTCATACAGCCGATGGGTGGTGGTGCCGGTGTAGGATTCAGCTCCCGTGCTAGCGGTCTCATGCCCAACAGTACACAGTGTCAATCGTTGGTTAGCGGCGCAGGCAACAGTACTGTTGGCCATTCAAGTCAACAGCGTGGTATAAAACGTGCTGGTTCCGATTGTTATGAAGACCATCATCGTAGCAGTAGTGCTACGGGCATGTCTACGCAATCGCTGCAAGGACTCGATTGTGTTGGCGGTAGTGCGCAACAAAGTGCACAGCAGCAGCAGCAGCAACAACAGCAGCAGCAACAGCAACAGAGTCAAGTGAGTGGCAATGTGCCGGATGTGGTGGACGACAGTTATACTGCGTTGCAAAACAAAAAGTCACCTCCTGCTAATGGCAAGAAGACAAAAGGGCGAGTCAAAATCAAAATGGAATATATCGATAATAAATTGCGTAGATATACGACATTTTCCAAACGCAAAACCGGCATCATGAAGAAGGTGAGTGTGGCTAAATTAGAACTGATAATTTATAAACTGTGAAAATATGAAAAGTAACACTTAATTTCGAAATTAATTTATGCATAACTGTGAAAATTTTGTCAACTCTAATACACGATTCTTTTTGTAGGGCGTAATAGTTTCATTCATTGCTAGTGGAAAAAGTGGATTTTATATGTACATACATATGTATGTAGTATTTTACACATCCTGCAATGCTTCTCGCATTATAACATTTTTTAAATATATACTTATGTAGATTGTACATTACGAAATCACGGCACGTTAAGCCCAGCGCTTAAGTGGTTTTCGTTTAGTTAAAGGCAAACTCTTTAAGTTTATTAAACGCACAAATATACATATGTACATGCACGTGTTTATTTAGATACTTGTTAAGTGCTCACTCTACTATGTGTCTTACATCCATATTATTGAGTATGTGTGTATCCGCTTTCTATCAGTAGGCGTCTTATCTTTAAATGCAGCAGATAGACAAAAATAACACGCTTTAAGTTTCACGGCCTTTTCTAAGTGCATCACACGAAATAAATCAATAGCAAAACTTCAAGCAGTAGATATTGTGCTAACAGCTACTGTGTGTGTGTAATACAAAATGCGTTGTGAAAATGTTAAAGATGTGCGGCTTTTAATTCTGCTAGATTGTGCAAACTAAAAAATAAAGTGTTAACACTTTGGCACACGCTTACGCATTTGCATTTAGGCTATTTTACCTGTTATCTCCATCTCCAATCGAATTTGGAATTTATTGCGGTTGCTAAGTTGTTGTAGGTAGGCTTCTGGCTTTAAGCATTTGCTTACTTTTGGTTTAATGGTTTAATCCATTTTTTTATTGCTTTTATTTTTTATTATGGTGTGTAAGAGTAATGTATAGATGTATTCCTTAAAATCCTCATAAGAAAATGTTCCCTGTATTTTTATCTTATAAGATATGCAATTTAAAACGAAGTCAATGTTTGCCCAATTGGAAACTCTTTGGAAGTCTAGTTAATTTTCAAATACAAAATGTAATTCGAAAAATTTGAACTTCAATATCACTTCTTTTGTTTATTTTGCTTAAAAACATGTTAATTTAGTTGCACCATTCAAAAAGCTTTAACTAAACTTGTTTTGAACTTTAGTTTAAATTTTGCAAATACATATAAATCAAATTTAAACGCATAAAACAAAAAAAAATATGAAGATAGTGACTGTTTTTGCAAATAAATTTTGTTTGTATTGTATTTAGGCAGCCATCTTCATTATTATTATTTTTCATTTTCTAATTAAGTATAAATTTGCATCTTGTCAAAATAATGTTTTTCCAAAAATTTTCATATCTTATTTTTATTTTTTTTTTTAATATTTTAACCTTATAATATTCCATTGTCAAAGTAGTCCAAAAATTACGTTATAATTCTAAAATAATGTAACTTTACGATTTTCCATTGTAATGTCTTCCTTGAGTTTTATAACCACTTTAAAAAGAAGTTAAATTTAACAATTTTCGGCAATTCGGAAATTTTTCGAATAAAAACTATTAAAATTTTTAATAATATTTATAATTTGATTATCATTTTCGTTTAATTTTTATATTAATTTTTTGACGTTTAAATTTAATATTGATTTGGTACCGTTAACTTCTTTTTTCGTCGTTAGATTACCAACTGTCATCTTGGTGTTGCCATACATTTATGTTAAACTCACCATTCTATTTAAAAAACCAAAAATATATATTAAGGTAACCCGCTATCTTAATGGGCCTTTTACTCGTTGAAGTTATGCTAAATATACTTACAATTGGTGTCGAAAAGGCTAATCGGTCTAAAATCGTTTGTGTAACATTTTACAGACCTTATCGCCCAGGCTCAGGCATTTTTTCGTTAGGAAAATTTAAATTGTTGCTAAAAGAAACATCAGCTTACATATCCGAAGTTCAGCGAACTCCCTAATTTAGTCAACTAGCAATATAAATATTGACATGGTCACAGATTAGCGGTATTTTCTTGTAGTTTTCAATAAAAAGGCACAGATTTGGACAAGAAAGTTTGCCAAATATGCTTAATTTAGGACAAAGTTCTGTTAGTTAGTTAATAGAAATATGAAAAGCAAACAGCAAAAAACCGGAAAAATGCTTTGCATATAACACACGCATACATACAGACATACTATGTGTGAGGTAAATAGCAACCTCTGCCAGAGGTGGGTGATTGTATTTCATGGTAGATAAGCAAAACTCTGGGAGCAGATGCTCGTAACTACCAAAATTGGACAATATATATATAATATAATTTTTTGAACATTTTGCGTGGTTGCTGGTAGAGTTTAGGGCGCGCGCAGCGTTTAACCACGCAACCGACCTGTGTCCACTGCAAGCTGTACGTTGTTGTTTTCTTTTAATATATTTTATACATTTCGTAGATACTCGTATATATTTAAGTGCTAAATAATGCCAAAACAAGTGTTCCAAACACAATATTCGCGCACATGATATCATCGTGCGGCGTTCGGTTGATGATGAGTTGCTGCACAAGCCTGAGTTCCATTAAGTTTCTTTTATTTTCCTCTTAAGTAACCACGCATGCGTGGGTTAAGTTTTGCTCATTTGACTACACATTGACATGTTGTTGTCGTGTCATCATTCGCCATGTGTTGCTTGCATGCTTATTGTGTGTTACATAGCTATTATTGATATGAAATCTAAAACGTAGAGACGCAAGAATATTGAAATCTGCACGCCTACAATGCTTGCAGCAGCGCATAATTATACAAGTCAAAGTGTTTAATGGAAAATTTATTATTTTATTGTAATTTTATATTATATTATACCAGTTCTGTGGTATAACTAATTTTATTTTTAAATTTTTATACATAAATAACCTAAAAAATAACATTTAGAAAAAGATTTTGGCAATATTTTTTTAGAATATAATAATAATAATAATAATATTTAATTTATAAAAAAAAAAGTTTTTTATAAATTTTTAAATCTGTTATTTTTTTTCCAATTTATTAGAAATTTCAAATTATATAAAACGTTAACTCCGGTTGCACCGAAGCTATAATACCCTTCACCAATAAAAAGTCTCTGTACAAGAACTTTATTTTGATCGGTCAGCTTATTAGACAGCTACATATATGCTATAGTGATTCGATCCGCACAATAAGTTCTGAGATTATAGCGTTGCCTTGGATTATAAACTGTACCAAATTTCTTGAATGTCTATTCTCAAATAAAAAAGTTTTCCATACATACTTAATTTGGAGCGGTCAGTTTGTTTGACAGCTATATGCTATACTGATCCGATCTGAACAATTTCTTTGGATATGAAATTATTGCCTTAGACAATAACCCTTTCCAAATTTTGTGAAGATATCTCGTGAAATAAAAAATGTTTTCCATGCCAGCAGTTGCTTCCGATCGTTCAGTTTGCATGGCAGCTATATGCTATAGTGGTCCGATATCGACGGTTTCGACAAATTTGCAGCTTTTTGTGGAGAAATGAACATGTCCAAATATTCAGATCGATATCTCAAAATCTGAGGGGCTAGTTCGCGTATATAGAGACAAATTGACGGACATGGCTAAAACGACTCAATTCGTCACGCTGATCATTTATGGTATATACACACATTATAGGATCTCCGATGTTTCCTTCTGGCTGTTGCAAACTTCGTGGCAAGCTTAATAGGTATATTACCCTGTTCAGGGTATATAAATTTAAGTTACATTCCCATATGTCCAAAAGTCTATTGCTGAAGTCGCAGCAAAGAGTTGCAAGAATTTCACAAAGCTGCACATATTCGCATAGCGCATGCCTTTCTGTCGATTGTGTAGCATGCCAAGGGGTTGCACTGTTGTGTCATTGTGGCTGCCACCATCAGAGCCACCGCCACCGCCATCAGTGCCTTGGCACAGCTGCCACAGCGCGATAAATGGCAACCGAAACATGAATTCTACATAAACAAATACGAGCATGTGAATGCACTCTTTTCAATTTTTTTTTTGTAGTGTTATTGAACGCCAAACACCTCACAGCCAACGCCACACACACCCGCCTATACCCACGAGAGTGCCAACACACTCGCGCTCGGACAGGATCAAATGTGTGGAAAAATTGTCGCACGTGCGATGACCACAAATAGAACATGTAAAACAGTGGTAAAAATTAAAATACAAATAAAAGCAACAACCACAACAACAACACTAGAGTAAAGAAGCAGACAGCAGCTCTTCCGCACTTTCTCCTTCCGCCACAGACAGCCGCTTGGCAGCGCAATTGCGCACAAAATAACAATGCATCTGTATAGGCCAAGCGTAAGCGAAAAGGATGCCGCCAAAAGGTGTTAAATTGAATTTACGAAGGATTGCAGCGGCTTGTCGCAGTTTGTCTGCCAAAGGTTGTTGCCGAAGGCTGGCTGCCTGCCTGCCTGCCTGCTACTTGTAAATCTGCGTAGTTTTCAACAGAAGTGCCAAAGCGGCAGCAACACAACGCCAACAACAACAGCAACAACAATCACACTTGCATAAAAAACACCAACAACAGCTAGTTGCTACAACGAGCTTCACACGTCGGCATTGCCGACAATTGTCTGCCCAGCAGCGTGCTCGTTTGTTCCGGGAGGAAGACACTGATGTCTGTTTGTATGTGCATGTTGTTGTTGTTATTGCAGAGATTTCTCTTGTTGTTATTGCTGCTGCTGCTGCTGATGCAGTTTGATTGCGATTACGATGGCGTTCGATTCGGCGAGAGATCGGTTGGTTGAAGGTGGGAGCGCGCGCGCGCTTGCAAGTTCAAGCGCTTACATCCTCGCGCTGATCGTTGCTTTTCGATAAAGCCCAAACATTGTGTCGCAAACACAAATAATCGCGTTCTAACAAATGATTTGGTCTCTGCGGAGCAAACAAACAAAAGCGTAAACGTAGATTTTACTCGAATGTTAAATGTATAACACGATTGTTGTTGCGCACAGCAAAAGAACGGTACGACGGTTTGGCGTTCGAATGCGCCATCGGTTGGTCGGTTCGTCGGTCGCTTCGTTCGGGCGTTCAATCCAATTGTAAGACGCCTAAATGCGACAACGAGCCAACGCGGAGCCGCAAATCGTTGACTATCCGTTGCGCGTACGAGCATTGAAGCCTCAACGGATCGTTGTTGCTTCCTCTTCTGACCGCGCTTCGCTCCTGTTCCGCTTGTGGTACTACTTTGTAATTTCCTTGTACTTGCTTTTAAGCAGCTTCCTCAAGCGCTGCGCTCGTTTGCGCTTTTACGCGACGTTAGCGCTGCTTATTAACGGCAAGAAAATACAACGCACGCGCACATATACACACGTACAATGGCACTCATATGTATATATGTAATAGCGACGCGGATCGCATTATGTGTGCGCCTTTCGCGCCTGCGCTGCCGGTGCGTGCATGCCTAAGCGCGGCGCGGCGCTGCGCACACGTAGGACAGAAGCTGCCTCTGGCTCACCAAAGGCCTGTCAAGTTAGTCAATGCTGAAGTTTGCATTGGAAATTCAATGTGACGCATGCTTAACTATCAACATACATACATAACTTTACTTTATTCTTTGTATGCTTATGTGTGTTTATCTTTTTTCGAACGCGCACGGCTGTATAATTTATATATTTAAGTACATATGTTTGCCAGTTTGTATCTGAATATAAATCTACCACAGGTCTAACGATTTAACATTGATTGTTGGGTGCCTGGGAATATTTAGATTGTAAAAAATACAACTTTACTCCTTCCATGCGCGCTGATTGCCGACGTTCGCTTGTTTGTTCGCACAACTAAGCTTTGATTGCTCTTTGAGAAATTATCATTTGTATTGTAATGTTATTAGTTTCGTTGTTGTAGTTGTTGTGGTCTTTTATTGCTTAACTAGCTAACTAATCGAACCAATTATCATTCTGCATGAATACTTGCTCGGCGCAGTTCATAAATAAGCCAAGCGCTTAAGTGACAGGTTGGTACAAATATTTTTACTTTGTTAGACAAGAGCGTTTGACAGTAAATGTGATGGTTTACTATATCGAATGATGTTGTTATTATTATTATTTCTTTTTTTTTTTTGCAATTGTAGTTCGCCATATTTTTCTTATTTTGGATTGGTAATGAGTTCTTGAAATGTTACACCTATCCACACATTATATAGTGTGGACACACCTTTTATTAAATATTCTCTTTCTTCTCTATTTATGACATATAATTCCGTTACAAATTATATTATTGCTCCATAAAAGAGTAAAAGTAAACTCGATTTAATGTTCGATAATATATTCGAAATTTTGAAACTGCGAAAACATACCAAAAAACGTTTATAACTGAGCACCTGAGTCTATTTTGAATCTTATCAATCAATATAGTTTTGCCTTCTAAGTTAATCACATACATTCTCATTATGAAAATCGAATTTTTAGTATTTACATTGACCACAGCATCATCTATCGCGACACTTTCGAACCATACACTTACAGAAATATTTCTATTTCAGCGACATCTACCGCTTAAATTTGTTAGCAATAAATTTAAGTACTTCCAAGAATAACTCCGATTTTGAACCAATCTAATATTAACGTTTTGCGAATATAAGACAAATCCAGAAATATTTTATAACATTACTTCCTCATGCTTAAAGATTTTATCATCAAAATATTCGTACTTTGCTGCTTACCTCTCAATTTGAACAAAATCGGACAGTTTCTGCGGTTTTTAGCTATATTTGATCCCAGCGCCGTCTATTTTAAACATTTCTTACCGATTATTTGCATAATTTACATGAAGGCGAATAATAAAAAGAGTTTATATGCCAGTAAAAAAGTTTTATAGAAAAATGTCTCGATACGTTATCCGCAAATTATTGGAAGATGCCGTAACAGGGCCCTGCGCCTGCTGTCAAAAAGGCTACGGCACCAATCTATGGCTCTGCGAGTTGTCTGTTTCCGAAAAATATCCGGTGCGTTTATCTGTTGCGTCGGTATTGTGCTCTACTCCTCTAACTTACGTAAAGGCCTTGGCTATACCAATGATCACATCACTTTTAACTCTTGAGGGTTTGAACATCAAAAATCAAAAAATACTATTAAACTCTTTTCTAAAGTTTAGGGCGTGAATATATCTATCTAGCTACTAAAAACACCTTCTATTTACATGTTATGATTAGTCTAAGTCTTTGTTATCAATTTATAATATCTATAATTTCTACACATTTACACTTTTTCTACTTCAATTCCAGGCATACGAACTGTCCACACTAACTGGCACCCAAGTGATGCTGTTAGTCGCCTCAGAGACTGGACACGTTTATACGTTCGCTACCCGCAAACTACAACCAATGATTACATCCGAGGCTGGTAAACAACTAATACAAACATGTCTCAACTCACCCGATCCGCCCAGTGTGGGCGGCGGTGATCAACGCATGTCAGCGACTGGCTTCGAAGAGACCGAATTAAGTTATAACATAGCGGACGAGGACTCAAAAGTAAGACAATTAATTTACGGTCATCATGGTCACGCCCATCTCAGTCATCCGCAAGCGCCTGCATCACACTACGGACTCGAGCAGAGTATAATGCAATCGCCATATAGCGGTGGCCAACCATCGCCACTGTCGCATGCGCAAGCGTATGCCACACATGGCGGACATGCGCATCACACGCACGTGCCACATGTGCCACATTCGACGCATTCGCATATGTCGCATACGCATGCGCAACGATAGAAGTGTGTGGGTGCCATGCCGCCTGCCTACAAATGTTGGCCGTTACGAGGTCTACGTTAAGCGTTAGAATAGCAAAAATACAGCGAAAGTGTAACAAGCTTTTTCAGAACTTGCAGGCCTATGAAAGCTTTTTACCAAGCTTTCATGCATATGAAAGCTTACCACATCTGCGCATTTTGCTTACGCTGCAGCTTGCGTCTGTGTGCATAGTGTTAATGCTTGCTTGCAGCTTAGCGTTAGTTTATTCATATCTTTGAGGGAATTTATGGTGTCAGCTGTCAACTGTCAGCTGTCATATCATTTGTTTATTAGTTAACTTAACACTTTTTCACTTTTCAACGCGTGTACTTAAGCAATTAACTAATTAGTTAAAATCCAGACATTCCAAATTGTGCCTTACATTTTAACTACCGTTATTTCGTTTGGCTACGACAAAATAGTAGTTCATATTCGTAAGCTTTCTTAACTACAATTTCACTTAGTTGTATGTATCGAATATAAATGAATATGATCAATGATCTCGCCTTTAATTAGAACATAAATGCTCAGTAATTTAATATGATATGAACGGTAAAGTGAAAAATAAGATATAAAAAAATATACAAAAACAAAATACGTACGAATATACGAAACTAGTCATTTATGATGAGTTGACACGAATCTATAAAACGATAACATGACAAAATCTACATACCATCCACTCTCGTACATACCTACCTACTCGTACATACATATATACAATTCTGATTGTAAACTCAAGTAAGTTGAACTGTGCCATATTTTTACTTCAATTTCACGAAAAGAAAGCGAAACACACAAAACAAATGCGGAAGCTAAAGACAATCGAACACATGTTTTAGCACGGAGTGCATAAATGCAATGAAGCGCGCTTTTAGGCGCAAAGCCTTGCGTCATTGTCGCTTTGTCTTCGCTTCGTGCAATTACAACAACGTGTACCCCAGTGCCATAAATTGGAGCTTAATGTACCCACTCTAGCTAAGAATAGCATAACAACAACAGTTGTTGTAGAAAACGGACAAAAAGTGAAAAAAGAGCGCAAAGAGAGCAACTAGTGAATTTTTTTTTTTTTAATTATTTAACGGAAAATCTTAAACTGAATTCTGTGCCATTTTTGAACCAACTCGAAGGCTTTAAGTTTTCAACGGCTATTTGCAGAAAGTAGAAGAAGTAGAAAGCAACAAAAGTGAGAAGAAATAAAAAAAAAGAAAACAAAAAAACTAAAAAATATAAATTTTTTTAATTTCGAATAATTTGTGCAATAAATGATTTACATATCTAATTACCAATTACATAAATGAAACGATATAGTTATACATACGTACATACATACAAACATATATGTGAATAATATGAAATATTAAAATATTATTCTGCTGCAGAGTCTATGTAGTGTTGGAGCATGGCGGATATGAGATTGAGCGTGATCAGTTGAATAATGTGTTTGTTTTCATATACATATAGTATATAAATTTGTAAGTAGTAAGTGTTTAGTTGTTGTAAGCATATACATATATATATACATATACATAAAAGAAATTATTAGACACAGTTGCTTATTATTGTTGTTAATGTAGATTTGCAAAATCAATGAGAAAAGACAGCATTTTAATGCTTCAAATGCGTGCGTGTAGTGGTTTAAGAGTAAGATTGGTGGGCATGCAAATAATTTGTGTGTTGATCAACAAAAAATAAAAATAGTTAAAACCAAAAAAACAACAAATAATCAAATTATTAAAAATTATTTTAGTAATGATTCTAGCTTGCATAAAAAAAGTTTTACGTTGATTTTTCACTAAATATTTTAAAAAAATTCCAAGTTGATTTCAAAACGTTTCCACTGCTTGTTAAAATGTTTAATTTTGTTTTATTTTTTTTAATTTCAATAATTTATACAAATAACCAATAACTTTTGTTTTTATTTTTTTAAGAAATTAAGTAATTTAACTAATAATTTTATTTTACATTTTTTTTTATATATAATAATAATTTATAATTGGTTTCAAAAACATTTTTGATTATAAAAATTACATAGATTACAAATTTAGTTTGTTTAAAAAAATACATTCAAAAAAGAATAAAATTCTAAAACTTATTACCAAATATTTTTTATAAGATTTGTAAAACATTTTTAATTAAAAAATAATTACATACATTGCATCTTTGGTTATAAAAAAATTCCAAAAAATAATTCAAAGCATAAAATTCTAAAACTAATTACCAAATATTTTCAAAAATGTATCTTCTATTACAATTTTTTCTTGCAATTTAGTACAATAATAAAAAAATTTAAATTGTTTATTAGAAAACCATATTAAATAAGTATTTATTCAAAATTATAAATCTAAATGCAATAAAAATATATTCGTAATCAAACAATTCTAAATAGAAAAAAAATTATTATACTTAATAAAATAAAAACAGAATTAAAATTATGCATTTTGTTTACTAACTTTATAAAAATTTTACACAAATACGCGTTATTAGCCTAAAATGATTAAACCAAAAATTTTAAAATTAATAGTTTTTCTTAAAATTTACTACATAAATATATTTTTATATATTAAATTAAGAAGAAAAAACATTATTATCTACAAAATATTTAAAAAATTAGGAAAAAAATAAAAAAATTTGTTCTTATAAAATTTAAAAAAGAATAATAAATTGAAAATTTTTTTTTTAATTTTTTTCGTCAATTGTTTTGCTTTCAACAATGTTTCCGTGTCTGATAGTATGATAAACAAAAAAAAATTTATTTATCTATAAGGTAGAAAAAAAATATTTAAAAAAAATATAATAAATTTTAAAATTTTTGTTAACAAAAACATTATTAACAAAATTTATCTGTATAAAGTTTTTTTAACAAAATTTTTTTAATTGAAACTTTGTTTACAACAATATTTTCCCGTCTGATAGGACAATAAATATAAAAAATAATTATCTGCAAGGTAATAAAAAATACATATATGTATAAATATATAAAAAATTATATACATATTGTATATAAAACAAAATAAATTTTAAAATTTTTGTTAACAAAAATATTTTTTTAATCAAAATTACTCTATAACATATTTTTCTTTTACAAATTTTTTTAGATAAAATTTGTTTATATCGACATTTTGGTTATAATAATATTTTTCTGTCTGATAGGGCGATAAAAATAAAAATGAGTTATTTGCAAAGTTGTAAAGAATGCATATACAAATTTAAAAAAAATTAATTTTAAAATATTGTTAATAAAAAATTTTGTTTTAACAAAAATTTCACAAAATTATTTTTTTACTACATTATTTGCCTGCCTAATATTATAAAAAAGATATAATATAACTTTTTTATGAATGAAAACTGCTAATTACCACTAAATTATTAAAAAAAAAATACAATTTAAAATGATATTAAGAAAGCTGAGTTTTTAAATTAATATTGTACATTATTAAAAAAATTACAATTTATAATGATATTAAAAACAACAGAATTTTTGAAATTAATATTTTATATAAAAGTTTTGGACTTTTTTCCAATGCCACCAACCAATTTTACGTAAAATGAAATGAAATATGAAAATAACTAAAATTTAAACTCTTCAACCACTACACGCCATTAAATAAAAACGCTATATATAATTTTCTAGAATTTTTATGCTTAGCACATTTGATGTAGACATTTTTAGTTTTATTTATCATTTAGTTAGAACTTTTATATTTACAAAACAAAAAAAAAACACATATATATATACATGCTATTATTTATTTCTGTCGAACAGAAATTAAAAAAGTAGTAAAAATACAATACTTTATTTGTATTAATTAAAAAAAAAGACAAAAACAAAAAGAATTACTTTTAAGCTTAGCAAATGCACTATGAAATTAATCAATCGGCTTCCGAAATATTTTTTAAATAATATATAAACAAACGACATTGAAAGTCAGAGATCAAATAACCGCTGTAATTATTAAACAACAACAAAAAAAAAATTAAAATAATAAATACAAAACTATTGTAATTTTAGTGAATTTTGTAATGATTACAAAGATAACTGTTTGCTTTATTGGTTGAAAAAGTGTGCTTTGTGTTCGACAAACGGTTTAGAACAACTAAAATTTATATGAAAGCAGGAAGAAATTAAGTCCATAAAACTAATTTGAACAGAAATTAAGCTGCAGCGCTTTAATGTTTCCATATGCAACTCGTTTGAAAAATCAAAATTTTCTTCAACTCAATTGAAACTAGTTGTTATCTCTTTACTTTTTATAAAATTTCTGCTTCTAATTAAGAGTCTTCGACGGTTTTGAAACCATGCTACGTCTCTAATACCTAAGGTGTCATGTTTTTCAAATTTTTAATATATATTTGAATAGTTGTCTTCTATTATTAAATATTTCAGCTTTTGTAGTCTGCCTAAGATTATAATACGAAAGTTAGATCGATATTATTAGGTTAGGTTAGGTAAGGTTAATGGTTGATTCCCCAAGTTGCAGGAGGTTCACATTAAGACTGCTTTGAACAGTACTTTGTAAAGCCAGACAAATATGTAACACTATAGTTGGTTATTACCTCTCGACAAAGCAAATTAAAAATCTAGCACAAATCTGCTTAGTTGTTTATTTCTATTTTCGATACTATTTCACCTTATCCCTAATGTATGAGATTCATGGTATTTTAGAGTTGATATGGCAAAGACGCAACATTCGAAAAGAAAGTCATCTGCTTTTAAACAGCTCATGCCACAGGTATCCGGTAAAATTTTCAATTTTGCTGCATGAATTCCGTTTGGGCCGTGTCCAGTTAGAACTCCTATAACTATTGAAAGATGAACTTTGCTGAAGAGCTCACTATAGCTCTTACGATGTACCCTCGGCCAGAAAGACCTTGCGACTGCACAGATGCTAGTAGCTGATCAGTGAATGCTTTTTGTTACTCAGGCAATATTATGTTTTAGAAAAAATTGAAGTCCTGCTTTATAGTGATGAAAAATTCTCGTGATATTACTATTAGGTGAGATAGACTGGAGTATTGCAAATTTTCCTAAGCTTTAATTGGGTCCGTGCTTCTTTTTATCATTTTTATTGTTATTTAGTAATTCTCGACTTATCTGCTTCAAAAAAAGATCGAAATCGACCAGTTTTTCTTTGAGTCTTTTATAAATGATGGTTTCGGATTGGTAATTGTGATTTGATTTTTTCAAATTTTTTCATGACTTATTTCAGTTAGGAGTTTTTGAGAGTTCGTACACTCGTTTTGCTTTATGATTTTTAAGCGATTCTTGTGACCAATTCTGAAGCGTTTCCCGATAGACCATTATCTTTAAGGTTATATGTAAATGCTGTTAACGCTGTTTTAAAAGTCTTTTTCTGTTGAAAGGAACGAATTGCTTCGGAATGCTGACTTACCTGGTTTTTTACTTACCTCGTTTAAATAAAAATATCAAATACCTGATAATTAAATAATTCGTTTCTAGAACTAGTCCCTCAGTTTTTGAGATAACGATTTGAAATTTTGCAGACGTTCATTCCCTTCCATGAAGCTACTCATTTGTCTGGATCGCCGTTATCGAACAACTATAACATATCGAACAACTGCCATACAAACTGACTGCTCCAAATTAAGTTCCGGTTTGGAAGACTTTTTTTATTTGATAATATATCTTCACGCAACTTAGCATAGATTATTGTTCAAAGCAACGCCACGATCTTCGAACAAATTGTTCAGATCGAACCAATACAGCATATTCGTAGCTGCCATACAAACTGACTTAATGCTATAAGAAATACACCTGTAAAAGGCATTATAGCTTCGGTGCAGCTGAAGTTAACGTTTTTTCTTGTTTTTATTTTCGGTTAAACGATTCATTCATTATATGGCAGAAGCTCTGACTTGATTACTCATACATACGTTTCTAGCGAGAGCAATATACAATACGTATATTTTTGTATTTATTTACATATATTCTTCGAGTCAATATGCATATTAAAATGCATATTGCGTTGTCGCTTCCGCTGCTCGTAAAGCTAGCGCTGTTGAGCCTACACAAATTACAACAAAAAACAAATGTATAATATGAAAAATATATTAATCATATTTATGTATAGATATATATATATATATATATGTATTTAGCTGGAGAATTATTAGCTTGAGGCTAAAGCACAGCTTCACAATCAAGCATTTTGTTGTGTTCTGAGA